AAAGAACCAAAAAACAGCAGAAAACTTTCTTTTCAAAGAGCAGAGAAAAACTAATAGTATACATGAACCAAATTAGTATATCTATTAAAATATTTTTGAAACAATGGAGTATGAAATGTGGGATTTGAACCTCTACTTTCTGTTTTTGACAAGAGTTCCAAGACAACAAATGAACAAAACAATGTTTTCAACAGATTGTTCTGGGGCTACTGAATATTCACATAAAAAATACCACATGGTACACACAAAATATAAGGTAAAAGTATCAAAGACATGAATATGAGAGCTAATCCTTTAAAACCATTAGAGAAATATAGGGATAAATCATCATGAATTCAGATTAAGTCATAGCTTTTAAATATGACACCAGAAGCAAAATCAACAAAAGAAAAAAGGAGATAACTAGATTTCAACAAAATTACAACCTTTTGTACATCAAGTCACTCTGAGGAAAGTGAAAAATAATTCAAAAATAAAATGTTTATGTATCTTTCATCTAATCAGGATCCAGAACTCCAGAACAATAAGGAATTCTTCAACCTGATGAAGGGCATGCACAAAAATATAGAAATAATGTCATAAGGGTGATGCAATGAATGCTTTCCCCCTCAGTTCATGATATTTCACCTAATGGTTTTAAAGGATTAGCCAGTGGCCTGGGAGATAGCTCAGTAGAATAAGCACTTGCTTGGCAAGCACAGGGTCCTGAGTTCAACCCTCAGTTCCACCAAAAAAAATAAAATAAAATAAAAGATTAGCTAATACATTACAACAGGGTATTACTTTATAGCCTTCTAGCCACAGGTTGCAAGAGAAAGGAATAGTTTATTTCTCTTTTACAATGTCTATTGTACCTTTCAGATTTTATTTACTCTTTCAGGTTCTTACAGTAGGGAGACAATATGATGTTTACATATGTGGGTCTGATTCATTTCACCTATGAGTACAATCTCAAGTTGTGTCCATTTACCTATAAAAGCCCCTAGTTTATCTTTCTTCAGATCTGAGTAACACTCCATTGTATAAAAATACCACATCGATTGATGGGCATTTGGGTTATTTCCAAGATTTAGCTATGATAAATTGCATTGTATAAATATGGGTGCACATGGTATGCTGTTTTCAATTCTTCTGGAAAAATACCCTGAAGGGGAATAACTGGGATGAATGGGACCTATAATCTTAGATTTTCTTTAGGAATCTTTACACTGATTTCCACAGTAGGTGTACCAGTCCACATTCCCACTAACAATGGAGAAGTGTTCCTGTTTCCCCACAACCTCACCAGAATTTGCTATTGGATGATATCTTGATGACAGCCATTCTTTCTGTAGTGAGATGGAATCTCATTGTTGTTTTAATTTTCATTTTCTCAAATTACCAATGATGTTGAACACTTTTTCATATATTTACTTGGCATGAGGGAAAGGAGAAAAAAAGAAGGGGAAAACACACATATACAAGATAGATAAGATAATTGTACTACTAATTGCTTTTGATTTGTTGAGGGAAACAGTTAATGCTTCATTTTTGTTCAATTTTGCAAGCCAGTGTCTGGTAATCTGAACAATTATTTTGAAGATAGCAATACACAGCATAACAACAATTGTAAATTTCCTATCCTCTTCTTTTGAAATTCTTTATCCTTCACAATGTTTTTAAGTGATCTTATTCTCTTTAAAATAAATAAATAAGAAAAAAAGAAAGGAATAAAAAGTATGTAGACTGGAAAGAAAGAAGGTAAATATCTTTATTTATGTACATAGTTTATTTGTATACTTGCGATTCATTCCAGATGCTGCCCTGTAGGAGTATGACTAACATCTTCATTTTGCTGGCTCAGATCTTGAGTGGTGTGAAGGCTCTTAATGTCCCAGTGTGAATGCTCTTAACATCCTGCAGGAAAACTGCAGTGGCAAGGCAAACACTATCCCAGTCCCATAGTAACTGGTGAGGCCAGATAGCACCTTAGATAACCCTTAGCTAAGGACCCAAAGCCCTGCCTTCAAACCTAGCAAATGAGCTCTAACTGGAAAGCCACAGGTTAGACATAGATCAAGGGAGAGACACCGTAATTGCAAGGACCAGGAACTCTAGGGCAGGTGAAGCAGTGACAGTTTAAACAGGGCATGTCGAGCCACGGAACGCTGAGCAGACCCATGGGAAAGGATAGGAGCAAATTCATAAAACCAGCCTGGCTCCCAGCTCTGGACCTTGCCTCTGAGCCATTTCATCCTGAATAATTTACATAGCCTTTCTTTGTTGTCTGTGAAACAGGAATAAACACATAATAAGGGCAGGCCCCCTCTTAAAAGTCTTCTTTCATTTTCAAAATATCTTTAAGTTTTATTAGTGTGTGTTTGCATTAAATAATGGTTACATTCACTATGAGGAATTGTCACATATTATATAACACATTTTAATTCTTTTTACTTGCTTTCATCTCTCAGTCCCCTTTCTCAGTTACAAAAGATGTCCCTATTGCCTATTGCTTATCTTTTGTTTTAGGCTTTAAATTGTGTATCTCTTGGGTTTCTTACATAAGGGAGACCATGTTACATTTAGCTTGGTGTCTGATTTATTTCACTTAACATTATGGTTTCAAGGTGCATCCATTTTCTCATAAATAACACCAGTTTATTGTCTTTCATGGCAAAGTATAGTCCTCCATTGTGCATAATTATCATATTTTTTATCCATTCCTATGTTAAATGGACAAATGGGACTCTTCCAAGATTTAGTTATCATAGGCTGTGCTGCTATGAAGAAGGGTATGTATATACCACGTAATATGATGTCTTTAACTCTTTTAGGATGATACATAGAAGGAGAAGAGCTGGACCACATGGAATTTTAGCATTAGTCTTTGGAGGAATCTCCATACTGATTTATTTTTCTTTTTTCTTTCTTTCTTTCTTTCTTTCTTTCTTTCTTTCTTTCTTTCTTTCTTTCTTTCTTTCTTTCTTTCTTTCTTTCTTTCTTTCTTTCTTTCTT